TCCAATTTCATTCCATTCTTAGATACTTTTTTATCGCAAATTAAAGTACGGTTTTTAGATAAAAAACAAGTCTAATCTTCAAATTTTATTATCTTTCTGATGCCATTATTGGTATAATTAAATATTTAGCAAAATTTTATTCCTATGATGTTGATACTGAAATCAATTTAATCAGTGAATTCGAATTGTGATATAAATATTTACTACGTTTATTATTTTACCTGAGCATGCTATTGATGCGCTCAATCGGTATAAGGAGGCTTAATTTCCAAATATTTTGAAGGTATTTAATATTCTTGCATGTTTGCCTATTACAACATATACGAATGAAAGGACCTTTTTCAAATTGAGAAGGTTGAAAACTTATTTACAAAATACTACTTCTCGGCTAAATGGGTTAGCTATGTTAAATATCCACAGAGATTTATTTCCAACGACAAAGAAAATTCTTGATGAATTGGAAAAATTCCCACGAAAATTAAAAATCGCATTATAATTCTAGTATTTAATAAATTTTTTATATAATATTATGTTTAATAAGTTATAAAAACTTGTTCCTTAAAAAATTTTCTAGTCAATATTTTATACACACTACAATTAGAATTTTCAATCAAAAAATTTTTATATTTATATTATATGAGAATTTAAGATGAGGCTAGTTTTTAAAGCCTCTTTATAAAAAAAAAAATTGACACTAAACTTTATTTCAATTTTATATTTTTTAAAAAATATTTATCTATAATATACCTAACTTAAAATAAAAATTGGGTTATAACTTTTATTTCTTCTTATATTCATAAGCGCGAATTAGTAATCAGGAGACCCAAAAGAAAGCGACTACTTACGTCAATGCATAGGAATTCAGATTATAAAATCTAATTTTACACGCCATAGGTTCATTCCCCGAAGCCGATTAATCTAGATTTTCTTCTTCTTCCCTAAGTTATTTAAACCCCCCCCCCCCCTTCTTCTTCATATAATCATTTGCATTTATTATATTTCTATTATATCTATTATTATACTTTGTATTATGAAGTCCTTGTTTGTTAAATTTCTTTAATTTTCTAGAATTATGTTTTGGACATGATTTTATTTTAATACTATCATTTTGTCAGATTTAATTTTTCTTTATTAATAAATGTTAAATTTAAAAATTAAAAAAAAAAATTTCTTAAATAATTAATTTATAAAAGGAACCAAAATTCAAATAAAAGTTAAAAATATTAATATAATTATTATTGAATTATGAATAATTTAAAAGAATAGATCAAAGATATGACCCGGCCGAAGGTGAGGAAAAAGCTGGCCAAAGGGGGTTTGGAGGCAAAGCCCCCCAAAAAATTTCCCCCCCCCTATAGGAAAATCCTGGATACGCCACTGGGTCATCAATTTTCTAACGATAGTCGGCTGATTTATGATTGCCAAGGAACGATCTGCATATTCATTTAAAAGATTCCCATGCTTTTAATTCAATGAGTAACAATTCATCTTCAAAAAAACTGTCCTTCATGAGTTTTCTTATTTGGGGCCCCACTAAAATCCCCTCTTTTGTTTTTGCTTGGGAAAGCTTGGGGAAAAAATTTCTAAGGTATATCGTGGGGCCCTCGGACAATTTTTTGATAAAATTTTTGATTAGTCCTAATTTTATATGCAACAGAGGCAACAAAATCTTATTTTTAGAAACAAGCGGGATATTTACAAGATCTTTTTCAAGAACGTTGGGACGATCCTCCCATTCAGATACTGTATAATGTTTTATAGTTTCTCTGGAATTCCAGAGACAAAGAAAACACGAATGCTTGGTGTAGCCTAACTGAAGGCCTGACAGGATTGCGATCATTTTGAGATCTCAGCATATCTTAAATTCGTAAATGGAATAATTTATTTTTGACAAAAAATATTTCATATTTTCATATGATTCATTTAACTGGTTGGAATAGGCGATGGGAATTGATGGCTTAGAATTTCCGTTATGAAGCAAAACTGCTTTCAAGCTGTTTTTGCTTGAATCGATGAACAAGGGTCATTCATCGGGCACCAATTCAATATTAAGTTGTAAAAAAAGTTGACCTAGATTGTTGGAATAGTATAAAAAATTTTCGTAAGAGAGTAAATTTTTAAACGATGTTCCACGGAATCGGTATGAAGTTCGAACTCCATTTTTTAAAATTTTAAAATTATTAAGCCTTGACGCTAAAAATTCGGACTTTCTTTTTGAAAGTTGTAAATTTCTGGTTATGTCATTTAGTTGCTCTTGCGACATAAATGGCGAATCCTCTTCGGGATGATACTCAAGATCAATATTGTCATTGTTCTGGCAACGTATTTTTTCCAGCTGCGAACTATTAAAAAAGGGAACTGTTGTATGCATATTATTACCGGATAAACAACCGATCTTCTTATTTTTTTTGTTAAACCCAAATGTACTAATCGAGCAAAAATAACAATCCTACGAATAATTTCTTGCTACGTGCCAAAATGCAGGTTTCGAATAAGACAAATATGACCGTTTTCAATTTACCCATGAATTAAAAGAATTATAACATGTTTTACATATGTAATTAGGGGCAAATGGTTTGTCCAAATAGCAGAGTGGAATATTGTAATAAATTTCATAAATCCTTTGAATGATTGGAGAAATTGGACATTTTTGGGCTCAAATTTAGAGACACACTTTAAACAAGGGGACCTTGGCATTAATTTTTTGTAGAATATTATATAAGTAGGGAATTTGAATAATATTTAAAATCCAATTTTAAAAAAAAATTAATGAAAGAAATTAAATGTTTATGAAAAATTAAGCGCGAAAAAAAAATTCTTCTCCTTTCTTCCTACTCGTTATTTGGCATTATTATTTATTGCCCATACTACGGGTTCAAGGTACTCCATTGGAAAATCATATATTTTGATATAAATTGTTTAAAAAAACAAATATTCTTAAATACATCTAAAAAAGATAAATATTAATAAAAAATTACCAATTATTGCATTTTAAATGAATTTTGCTTCAAAAATGCTCAATTCAAAAAGAGTACAAATTAAAAAAGTGGGTACAGATATCTGATTTTGGTATAAATTGATCATAAATGCATAAAATATTACTAAATACAACTAAAAAAGATAAATATTACCTTGATTTTGCTTTAAAAATGCTTTATGCAGAGAAAATTCAATAAAAGTGTACAAATTAAAAAGTTCGAAAATATCTGTACCGACTTTTTTAATTTATAGATTTGGTTGAATTTTCGTGGCATAGAGTACTTTTGAAACATAATTAGAATTAATATATAATCTAGAACATATTTGAAACAAAATTATATAAAATTTATCTTTTAAAGTTAATAATGATAGTAATTTAAATTGAAAACTTAAGACCCCCAAAACGAAATTCTTTACCATATTTCTCAAAAACCAATCAATAAAAAATTATAGAAATTAGTAAATTTATAAAGAAATATAAGTCTAACACTATCACCAATTTTCAGGGATTTTTATTCGATACTTTTTAAAATATATGCGTATAAAGATCTAAATTTTACCATTTTTGAGATTTCGAAAAGTTGTCTTTATACGGTAATATTTTTAAAACTTGACGTGTAGGGAAAATTTAAAAAACGGATTCGAACTCAACGTCAAATTCTGCACCAAAACTTATTTTTATTTTCTTCTCCCATTTTTCTTGTCGCACAGTGTTATTGGAATAAAAAGGTGTAAAATATGAAAAAAATTTCTGTGCCGGCGTGATTTTCATAAACAGCGGCGATTTCGGCCGCAGCTGACTCACGAGTCTAGGTATATGTCTCAAAAACATATAGTGAAAATTGTAAAAATAACAGAACTACAAATTTGGTATTTGAACTATCTATATTTTACTATAAATCTTTTTTTCTTTTGTATGATACTAAGAGCCGTGCCGAGACTTTTGGCTGCACAGAGTAGAAAATAATTGGCGGCCCTTAAAAAAACACAATTTTCTTAAGTTTATTTGATAAATTTTTTCACTGAGAACAAAATATATATACTTTATTAAATTTTAATTATAAATGCTCATTCCATTTATTAATTCTGGTATATTGAATAAGAATCCCAAAATTATCTTTAAATAGCTTTAACTGATGGAAAAATTTCTTCAACGAATTTCTAGCTTGATCAAGTAATATTTTGAGAAATTCAATCTCATATTTTAGAAGATCATGTATAGGCCTAGTCTAATGCTGTGGATATCTATTGATAAAATTAGTTTAATTTTATAAAATAAAAATCATAATTTATAGGAAAGAGAAAAACATCTGTCATATAACCCCCGTCTCCCCTACTTTTAAATAATATTCATGGTGTATATTAAAATGGAGACGAATAATAACGACCGAAATAACAAATAAATTTATTCGATTAAGAATAATAACACCAAATATCAATAAATTTATTCTATTCGAATATAATATGTGTAAATTATATGAATCTGATTCCATTATTGAATATTCATTAGGAGTACTGGATGAATAGAGATTCCAGACTTTTTTATTACTCTAAAGCATGTCCAAAGTCAAGAAGATTTTTTTAAAGGATTTAAACCTGTTGTATACGATATCATATAATGTACCATTTTTCGAAAGCTTGACATGAATTCTTATGTAAAACAAATGTTTGATTGTTGTCATAGATTTTTATCATCATAAAGTAAATTAAGCTTACACACCCTGTATGGCACAAATTTTACCTACCTTCATTAAAATTTCTAAACCTAAACCGAAACCTTTTTAAAATTTAATTCAATATCCTTGAACCTAACCTAAACCTTTAAAAATTTTTCTTCCTGATATTAAAAGGTTAGACACTCTGATTATAACATTACATCAAATTGTTATATCGATCAGTGACGTATTTAAGAACCCCCTCCCCGGGATGAAGACCAACTTCACAAAGTAGCTACCATCTCATGAAAATATTTATTATTTCGATTAAATTATCTTACCCTCCCCTAAATATATTATAAACAGATATTGGATGAAAAATGTCCTTTTTTATGGGACAAGAATCAAATCGTAGTACGGATCGAATGGAGAGACTCTATTTTACTCAACAACAGTTCCTATAATAAAAACGACGAGCTTCTATACCGTCAATATCTACATATGAAGTATTTTTTAAAATTGAAAGCATTTAATATATTTATTTTAAATAGAGCTAGATTTTCAAGGTGCTACCATAATTGAAACATATGAAAGTAAATAAGAGGGATCAAGCGAAATAAGATTTATAATGCTGACCACGCGATTTTTTTAAAATTAAAACTATAAAATGAGATAACTTTTCTTACCCAATAAAATATAGCACGATATACTCTGTCATTCATATTTTTAGTATTGTACATTAACAAACTATAAAAAGTATTTTATATACTTATATTAAATATTTTGACAATCTAATAAATTAACTTATTATAAAAATGGACAAAAATAATGATCTAAAAGAAATTAGTCAACTATTTTAAATTTACAGGCAGCTATACTATTTTTTTCATGAATACTCGGCCATCCATAATTTTAGCATATTTAATATACATAAATTTTCAAACTATAAAATGTATTTATATTTATTAATATATTATTTTTAAATATTTTGACAACCTAATAAATTATCTTATTATATAAAAGAGATAAAAATGATAATCCAAAAGAAATTAGTCAGCTATTTTAGATTTACAAATAGCTATACTTTTTATTTTAAATAATTTAAATAAATACTTAGTAAGAAAAAAGTTGCATATAGAATACAACATATTAAGATGATTAAACTCCAAAACGATTTATTTCATTTGTCATGCTACTTTTTTATAAAGCTAATTATTAAATCTTCCATCCTAAAAATGATTAAGTGTTTAAATAAGCGATTTGGAATATTTTTTCAAATTTTATACTATATGCAATCATGCATTTTTATATATAATATCATTCTATATTACTCCATTTCAATACAAGTGAAATGGTGAAACATGACATAAAATCATTAATAGTCAACGAGGCGATTTCACTTTAAACCCTATAAATAAAACATTAAAGATCACTTTTTTGGTTATAAAAGTATAATCTTGCTAAATTAAACTCAAGGTACTCCATCTATCTTTATTTAATCATATTTGAAATAAGTTTATTAAAATATAATACATTATGTTCTTTATCATTTGAAAGGCTATTTAGTTTTGCTTCTATGATGATTTAACTGACAAAAATTAAGGGATAATATGTTTTAATAAAATAGTTATACACATATTTTTATATTTAGGATTTTTTTTTAAATTTAATTTTAGTTTTGGAAATTATCAGATGGAAATTTGTAATAAAAATATTAAGTTTTTTTATTAAAGGATATGGCTTCTTCCCACAATATAAGGATATAATAAAACCAACGCAATAGATCATCTAAGCTAATCGACCTCTTACAATATCAGAAAATAATTAAAACTAAAGCAAAAGTTCTAAAATGTAGCTTGTAGCTAAGCTATTATTTTTATAGCAATAACTAAACTACATTTTTCTAAGGTAACTTCTAGCTATAGGGAAGCTTCATTTTTTTAAGGGGTAATTTGTGGCTTAAGCTATTTTAATGGAGCTATTTTTTAAAAACTAATGATAAATACGGTTATAATGATCTATGGGAGAGCAACATTAGAGTAAATTTAACATTATATTTTCCAGAGTCAAATAAAAGGGTATCCTCATCTAACTGAGAGAGGTATCATAGACTGGTATAAAAATGGATAAATATTGGTGAAATAAATATAAAATAGGAAATACCTTGAATTCCATAAAAAAATTAATTTTCTAAGGTAAAGGGGAGGGGTGAGAGTTCAAATGAGAAAATAGCGTATCTAACCCTAGAGATCTGATTATGTATGGCCATAATACCATAAGATCACTTACACATTGATGAACTTGTCTTAACTGAACCAGGAATAGGTGTTTAACAAATATATTTAGGGTTAGGCCTTGTATTTAAAAAAATAATTAAAAACTAGGCTAGGCTTGGCAACCTTATTAAAAAAATTGAAATCAGGCTAGGACTGGAAAAAATATTTCTGGGCTGGGCCTGAGGATTTTTCCTCTGTCTTACCTCCTCCCTTCCATCGTAATTTTGCCACTTAATTAAGGTGAGTAAAAAATCTATCGAATGGTAGCTCTTCTAAATATTTGCATAGAGATTTGACCCCTAATACAAAACAAATAAATAAGCTGAATCCCCAGGGAGATTAAATTTCAATTTAGAGATGATCGGCCAAATTTATAGAAGAGTAAATCTATACAACTATGCTCTCTTGATTGTATGTTTTTGTTATTCTTTAAAATATCATAAAAAATACACAATTTTTTAGGCACGAAAATGATCTTTAGTCTAATTGATTAATTTGTTATATTTATTTAAAAAAATATAAAACACAGAAACGAATTGGCAGCTCTAAGAAGAGAAAATATCTCACTTGAAAAGGAAATGTTCAACTATCAAAAGGCAATTTCTTTGATCAACTCTAAAAGTCCTTGAATTCCGTCTTTCACTTTTTATTACTTTTTTATTCAAATTGTTAGATTATATATATTGTATTAGTGTGTATCTATGGAGACAACATTTAATTTATATTGAGAATTTCCAGTTTTATTAAATAATTTATTATGTTATTTTATGAATCATTTGCGATGCTGATATTATTGTTTTTTTAAAAAATGTTTAAAAAAAATTATGATATCGTAAGTTATTACACAAAAAAATAAAAAAGGGATTTAGAAATATTAATTAAGAAACTGCATCAATTGAAGAATAGTATCCCGGTGGAAGTTATTTTTTGAAACACATTTTTTCTGAACCAACCTACTTGAACAGGTAGCTAAATGTTAGAGAGATGGGAGAAAGGTTAGAAAGATAAGTGATGGGTAAATTTAATATATATTAAAAAAGTGTGTCATTCTTATTGCATTTTAAAAAAATTTGGGCGGGCGTTGTTTAGTATCTTATTGCATTTTAAAAAAATTTGGGCGTTGTTTAGTAAATTACTATATTTTAATTGACGTTATTCGTATATTAATACCTTATTTACAAGGCTTGCCATTCGCATTCTTTAATAAAATATATACCAAGGGGAGAGGCGGGAAATTGCTCCTTGCAAATTTGTCAGTTTTCACAAATATCATTGCTAACAAATATTTCTCTCCAATACTTCCCCATCCCATGAATTTAATATTGTGATTACAAACTGAAGTTGAGGGGGGGGGGGGCTTCAGTTATTGGTAGTATAGTTGGAGATACCTCGAGTCCGTGGAATCGAGTATGAGTTATAATAATATTAAACAGACAGAACTTTATTTAAATTTTATGAGGTAAAACAAGTTAATTTATTATAAAAAAAATATTTAAATTTTATAAGGTAAAACAAATTAATTTATTATAAAAATAATATTATAAACCAAATTAAGATATCTCTCTCGTAAACATAAAAATTAGTCCCTATTATAGGGAGAATAAAAAGCTCAGTTATAAATTAAAATAAAATTGGCGCAAAGTAAAAAAAAAGAACGTTTTGCGAAAAGGAGTTGTGTTAGTTTTATCTTACATAATTGGGGATAAAACCAACCACCTTATACTTTTCAGAACTCAAGCTATACCTTCGGATTTAGAACGATCTCCGGAACCGAAATATCGAAGCTATAATTACTGAACACCTTACTAAGGAATCTAAAAGTATGAAAAACCGCTGATTAAAAAACACAAAAACCATATGGGTTACTTTTAATGTAATTATAAATCAAACAAAACAGAGACTAAAAAAATATATATGTTTAATTTTTATATATTTAAGGCGAAATAAAAGAGAAAAAAAAGACTATTTTTAATTTAAAAGGCTAAACAAAAGAGGGATAAAAAAAACTAGATTAAAATAAATGGAATACCATGTTTAACACTCCTCCCACTCTAAAAAGGCAACGGGGAGGGCAGGGATGATCCCGGTCTCGACTAAGTTTAACAAAGAATTATAGGATTATTGACGGGTTATTTCAGAGCTCCGAAACGCTCTAGTAAAAAATAAATAAATAAAAACTCTATGCAGAAAAATAAAATAAATAATTAAACTACCAAAATAAAACTAACACAAACAATATTTATAATTTAGTAAAATTCTTATTTTTTAAACCCCCCCCCCCCCCATGAGATAAAATATGTAAATATAGTTACTATTATTTTTTTAGAGAATAGGTATAAGCTAATAATTTTTAAAAATATTTGTATAATAGAAATATTTTAGATAAAAAAAGGTCTAAAGCCAAAATTATTTTTGTAAAATATAACCCGGTTCAATAAAATGATGGAAGGATAACCACAAAAAAGGGTTTGCCCCTTAGGGAAAATTATGGATATGCTTATAATTGGTTGATTATTCTTATTAATCAACTAGTATAAACTACCAAATGTGGCCAAATTTATTAATTAACATGATCATTCTCTAAGAGACTAATATTTTGTTTTATATAGATATCATTTGCACATATTCATTCAATTTTTCCATAATTATGTATTGGGCAAAATTGAAAATCGAATTTTAGCATTTTTATTATATAATTTATGTTTGCATTTCTTAGATTGCTTTTTTTTGTAAGCCAGAAATTATCCGGTACCTAAAGGGTTACAACATACTCCTCAAAATTGTTGAAGATCTAAGGGATTTTTGAGTGTGCTAACGGAACACATAAAATTGCTAGATTATAAAGCAAAAACAGCAAGGAGCATAAATTTTTTTAATTAAATTATACTAGTAGAATTAAGAAAATCAAAATAGTGAAAATAAAATAAAACCACAACAGAGCAGAATATACAAATTTAATTAAAAATATACCCTTGTAGTTTTCACAATATTCTAATAAATATTAATTAGTAAAAATCCGGGCTTATTCTCAATTATAGAAGTAAGAAAAAATATAAAAATTTTTAAAAAATATAGAAGTAATCAAGAATTTGCTTGCATCGGATAAAAAATAACGAGAGAACTAGAAATAAAAGGTAGTACCATACCTGAAACTTATGTAAGAAAACTTAAAATAAGAAAAACAATAAGATTCCGAATATGAGGATGAGCCCATTCTTATAGGACAAATATACAAGAATTTTTATGATATTGCAATTCAATCATTTCGAAGGACGATTTTAGCAATTTTATTGAAAATGATGTGTCGTAGATTTACATTATATTTAATTCTATCTATATCATATGAAAATAAAATAATTTATGCGTGTCAAAGATGAATATTATATCAATTATTATTTTTTCGTTTTGATGCATAGAGAATTTGTAATTCCTTTGTTTAAAATAAAGTTGGTGAAAAATGGAGTAAATTTAATATATGTTGCATTCCATATCAAATCAACTGAAGATTTACCCCAACCTCTTCGATTTTTTTTTATAATTTGTATGATAGTCGTATATACACTATATAGTAAAAATTTTAAATTTTAATTCCTAATTCAGTATATTTCATTAGATGCCATCTTTAGATACGCGAAAATTCCAAAATACACTATATATTTAATTTTTAATATCTCAAAAAGTAATTAAGCCAAAAACATAATTTAAATTATATTAAATAGCTCTAAAATAGCCCTTTAATATGATATAAAATTTATTTTATTTAACATAAGTCTATTATTAAAAACCGGAAATAGAAATTCGGAAATAACTATAAAATAAATTTTATTTTTTCAAATTTTTTTTATAGGTAGACATTATTTCTTATATTTGTGCAAAATCTTAGACTGGGACAAACATTGATCCAGTAGTTTTCGCACCATAGATATTGGTCGTATGGCTAAAATCGTTCATAAATATCATATATATTAAATAATATATAATTATTTAGATGGGATTACTACAATAAATTGAATATATATAATTATTCAGAGATTTTGGAATTTCAATATTGGTTCCCGTCTGATCAGGATCACAACTTTTATTAATGCAGAATTTACCTAGTAAAAGATTTTTTTATTAACTTCTACACAGTATATAATTAATGGCTTCATCTTGTTTGATATTCATAGAGATCTCATTCCCAACTAATAAAATTTATTAGAAGAAATAGCTAAAAGCCCGATGAGAATAAACTAAAAATTTATTTTAGAAAGATATATGTATATTACTATTTTTTTAACCTATGATGTGTTTATGTATTATTTCTTATGATTTTTATATTGCAATACTTTTTTTTATATTCATAATATTTCTTTACTGCGATTATATTTCTGACATCTTTAAAAAAAATTTATTATTCACAATTTTAATCTCTATCAATAAAAAAAAACACATTATTAAATGATAAAATATATCAAATTTCTAAATATAACTCCATATTAAATAAACTTATATTTTTTTGATAAATCCTTATGATTTTTGCTTGCATATTAATTAAATAAATATTTGATATAATTATTAAAATGAGTTTTGAAGAAAAAACTCGCGATTGAAGGCCATAAAAGTTTGTTAAACTTTGATACTCCTACCCAAAATTCCTGATTACGACACTACTCATCACTAATAGCTACTTCTATTTTTTTGTATATCTCACCAATGAAATGGTCTATCAACATTACACCAATTAAACACTCTGTTTTCTGTATAGTGACTCTTCAAAGTGTTTATAAGCGAATCGTTCTTGAGTGATTTAACTAATAGTATAAGTAAAATTCCAAAATTCATTTTTTTTATTTAATATTTTACTAATCATTTTTTTTAAAGGATGGTTATGCGAAGTTGAGGTGGTTATATCATTTTTAATATGTAATAAAAGTAATAATAAAATTTAATATTGTTTTTAAAGTAAGCTATTAACTATTAGTAAAATTATTATATCGACATAAACAGTATCAATTATCCTGAAAAAAAAATAATTGAAAAATCAATAATAGCTTATATTACCAACTTTCAAAATTTACCCCCATCATTAGATATATTTATTTTATTTTATTTAAAGAATAATTTCAAATGGACTCCTTTTTTAAAGTAAAAAATTAATGAACTTAATCGTAAAGACTGGGATTTAAACTCCGGTCGTGCGTCCAAATATGATTTTTTACGAATCTTTTTTTCTGCTAAAAAAATTTGATATTAGACAGGAACTTCATATCGACTAAAAAATTTGAAAATCTAGGACTTCGCTAGTATCGAATTTGTTTTATAAGTAAAAATTGTTCCTGCAAGATTCCACAAAATATATTTGGACTATGTTTACTTTATTTTTAAAAAATGGGTATATATTTAGCCTCTAAGCAAACTAGGATACTTTTGAGCAAAACAAAAAAACAAAATATATAAAATCGAACATAAAATTGATTTAATTCAAGATTTTTTAATAGAAAACAATATTAACTTTTTTAAAAAAAATATTGCTCGCTATTTTTGAGCAAAATATCCTCTTTATGTTTCATACTTAAGAACATTTTTCCCCATATTTGCCATCCTTCTTGCGTAGAAACTATTAAATAATCCTTATGAGCTAGTCTTAATATCCTCTCAATTTTTTTACATCTAAATCCTCCATGATATTTCTCATACTTAACTTTATCTTCAACAATA